TACAGGAACTAGGTGTTAGGGAACCGAGAAATCAGACAGAAACTTAAAGTGCAGGTTAAAAAAATAAAAGGAGTTATAAAATCACAATAAACAAAAATGGTAAAAAAACAATGTGCCAATCCAGAGGTCAGATGCCAAAGCGGGTAGTCAGCTGAACCAGGTCAGGGAACACTGAGAGCCGGATGAACAGAAACAATAGTTGGAGTCAGGAACCAGGAGTTCAGTCAGCCAAAGCCAGGGTCATACACAGAGAACAGGAACAGCTGCAGAGCACATGGTAGATCAGAAAATACACAAGGGCAAGGATTGAATGGATAAACTGATGGTTATATAGTGAGATGGTGTTTGCAGCATCACTTTGAGACAGGAATTTGACAGGAGTTTGCTTGTAGTTGCAGAATGATGATGGTAACGAGTTTGACCAAAAGAGGTGGATGAAAGCAACTGGACAAGGGTAAGAAACACTGACACTATGAAGAATCTAAATTGCTAGCCACAATTGTGTGCAAGTTTATACCTTAAAATGCATTTATTTTAATGTGAGTGGTCATTTTTTAGTTTGAATAAAGTAATTTTCAAAAAGAACTCTGGTACAGCCTCCTTGCTATGCTGATGCTAGCCCAAATGCCCTTTTTCATTGGGGGTTCTTTAGGAGGGGTAAGCCCAAAGAGCGAGAGTCCCTACATAGCACCCTAACCTAATGCCAGAAAAGGGGCTTTTTTTCCACCTATAGGGGTTTCTCAGGCCCATAACCAGTTTATCAAGGTGGAAAACATGCATAGGAAAAAAAATTGTAATATTCTAATTTAACTAATATTTTCTTTCCATGTCTCTGGGATGTCAGAAGATTTCCCAAAGAGTCCGATACCCCTCAGCATTAGGGAACTGATGCTTTAGCAACCAAACCTCTCCCAACATGCCTACCAATGCTAAAGCACGTTTGTGCTGATATAAGCATTGCAGCGGGTGGGGGCACACTTGCCACTCCCTGGCTATGGGGAAATCAGCCTGGTGTGTCAGGTTGGTTAGCTTCAGGGGTAGGGGGGTTTGGGGCCCACACACAATTTGTTGCAATAAATAAAAACAAAAAACAAACCATGGTATGAGAACCTTCACAGACAATTCATGGAAGTGCTGGACCTCTATTAAAAAACAAGCTCAGCACTCCTTTGGACAAAAAATACACAGCTTCACAGCAAGAAAGACTTTAAAATATACATTACCCACTTCAAACCAGATAAATAATATGCAAGGTGAAAAATAGGCAAATGTTGGATGAATATCAAAATGAATCCACATAGGATAGTTATTTTTCACACAAGACTCACACAACATTGACCCAAGATTAACACATTTTCCTTGCAAATGATTGTGTCTTCTTTGCAAAAGGGAAATTTCACCACATTCACTAAGCTAAGGGAAAATTTCCCTGCAAAATGCAGATTCCCTTGCCCGGTGAGCCGCCAATTTGTCTTTGGTAACTCAGCCCACAGTTGACTCACATACTGCATACGTATATTCCTCAGAGGCTCCAGTGGCAAGATATGTCTAGGAAATATTGCAATTAGCTTAGTGATTGAGGTCACCCCATTCACTAGGAAGATGGGGCAGAAAACAATCTCTGGTCTTCTTCACATCTTTCTAGCTTTCTAAGTTTCTTCTCTCATGTGCTATGCTTGCTCATCTCCGGATCTGACTCTGGAAATTAGGATTCTTGCGGTAACTTAATCCTATAGTTCCAAGGCAGGATAGGTGAAGATGTTCCTGTGTATACTTTCCACTTGATTAGTATACTCACCACCTTTTTTGTGGAGGAAATTTGCAGGCGCTTCCTCTGAGTCAAACGTTTTGTGCGAGGTATTACAAAAATGAGATAATGTTGATTTGCATGAACTTATTCCATATCACGGATCTAAGAATTAAACTTTTTCCATTTTCTGACGAAAGGAGGGCTGCTTTTTATTGAGAGACAGTCCTGGATTCCTGTGTTCGTGGGCTTTGGGCTTGTGCCAATGGCATCAGTTTGACATGAGTTTAAAAAGTTTCATTCATTTAAAAAGTTTCATTTCATTCAAAGAGATCATTCAGGACCTTTTAACAGGTACATATGACCTGCAGTTGACTTTTTCTGAGCTGTATTTGACCTGCTTTGAGTGGGTTTTGCATTCCTATAGAATTGTATGGGAATGCAAAACCTGTCCTAAGTAAACAAAAACCCATCGACACAGGCCCTAAAGCTTACCCTACTGTCTGTAGGTGTAAAGTGTAGGTGTGTAATACCACCCCCCAGGGGTGAACAAGGTCCTTGGACCACAGCTGTGGAAATGGCTTTAGAACGGGTATCAGATCGCAGCTCTACCTCCGATGCCCAAGGTTTTGATAAGGCCTGGAGAGAGCTGCTTCACATCATACCCCGTTTAGCACAAAGACTGCGTTCACCGTTAAGGTAGGTCTTCCGGGTGAAGCAGGAGGTTATGCTATGGTTTAGACTAGCAACTATTTTGAGGCCACGGATATATGATATCCCCCTGTGACACGGAAGACAGATTTATGTAGGCATATATCTATGATTTAGTATAAACGGTTACCAAGCATACAGGTGATAAGGCATTCGGTTCTGAGATAGGTTCATTTGCATTACACAGACAGTTGAGTAGGCATATAGAAATGCTATAGGTTAGGTTGTAATACAGCAGACAGTTGAGTAGGCATATAATAATGCTATAGGTTAGGTTGTAACACAACAGACAGTTGAGTAGGCATATAGAAATGCTATAGGTTAGGTTGTAATACAGCAGACAGTTGAGTAGGCATATAATAATGCTATAGGTTAGGTTGTAACACAGCAGACAGTTGAGTAGGCATATAGAAATGCCATAGGTTAGGTTGTAATACAGCAGACAGTTGAGTAAGCATATAGCATAGGAAGTGCTGTGGATCTCCTTACCATAGCCCTATGGCTATGGTAGCAATACTTGCTGTTTGAGGCTCTGTATAGTGTGGAGGGATCTCAGCAATTTCTCCTTTAGCAGGTGGTTCCTGGAGTAGCAGGGCTGTCGGTTTGATCAGCGTCCTGCTTCAATAATAGTGGGACGCCGATCAAACGGCGGACCGCGGCTTTATGCCGACTACTCGAGTGAGTGGGCGGAGTCTTGTGGCGCCCCTGCGCATTGTCACCGACGGACCCCGTACGTGAGTGGGAGGAGTCTCGCAGTGCGCCTGCGCAGTTGCGCGCACGGCTCGTCCCGATGGCCGAGGCGCGATGCGAGTATCACAAGGTGTCTATGTCACTCTAAACCCTGTTTGTCAGGGGGATAAAATTAGATAGTGGGAGGGCTTTGTAGCAATAGCTGATGGAGAGAACCCAGCAAGACTGAATTTGGGATAGGGTTGCCTTCCTTCAGGATCTATGTGAGTATGGAGAGCCAAGCTTTGCCCTGGAAAGGTTGGTCTATACTCCCTTTAGGAGCTTCTCCAGGAGAACTGGAGCTTTGAGGTGGAAAGAGAGAGGGATGGTGCTTTCCCTAAACTTTGGACAATGTGTTAGCTCTATCAGGTGGATAAACTAAACAGAAGAAATGTAATAAGAATAGTAAATGGAAACTTTGGACTGAGTCTACCCTTCTTCTTGTAGAGATCACAGGTAAGCCTATATCAGATGTGCTGACCATTTGGAGATAAATTTGAGAAACCTTTTGACGGGGGGACAGTGAGCTATATTAGAATATATAAAGGTTGTGCTCTTAGCTGTAGAAGCTAAGCCAGCAGCGCACCCTGCAGGTCACCTGTTCTGTCCGGTCAGAAGCACAAGGACTGAATTGCCAATGATTGTAAAAATTATATAAAAAATAAAGAAGAAACACTCTTCCGATCCTTGGACCCACCAGGCTTGACCAGTCCCTGTAGCTTCTTCTCTGGCAGCCTAAGGACCGATGATGTCATCATGTCTAATACAGTCCATTAGATGTGAGAACACCGAGGGACATCCTCAGCTAGAGAGGAAGGCGAGAGTACCTAGTGTCGGGTGAGTATCTCTTCTTTATTTTGACCTGTAGACCAGAACGAGCACTTAACCCTTACAGTGCGGGGGTAGCACCACTGCAGGGGTTATTTTCTGAAAATCCTTTAGTTAAATTTTTTTCCTTTAATTTTTAAAAAGCCTTTTTTAAGCATAATTTATCCCCTAAACAAAACAGGATTATTTCCCTTTATGTTTACCCCGTAATTCTGCAAATAACACACTTCCTTTCCCTCAGTTGCTATGCTCACTCACTTCAATGTATCTGTGGAGGAAGCAATTGATATCACACCCAGGCTAGAATTGAAACATGTCTTCCACTCTTC